ACCCACTGCATGGGCCTATTAGGCTACATGCGCATTCACGAAAACCTGCGGCAGACAACCGCGGGCTATACCACACTATCACATCTTCCCTCACCTACATCCCACAACATCATCACTCACCACAAGCATCCAACTGCCACCTCCCACGCAAGTGAGAAGTGTGCATCTCCGCTCCGTCTCCATGAGGCTCCTCTGCTGCATGTGTGATTCGGCTCTGACACCATCACGGTGCGTCAAGTGCCGTGGCTTGGAAGGCTGATGACCGACGCTCCAACTCAGTCCACACAGTCTGCCCATTTGCATGTGTTTGTCTGTTTGTCCCCCAAACGGGTCACATGGTAGATGCGCATGGGGGTTCTGGTAGGCGTTGTCGGATTGTGCACCATAGCAAATGTCAACATTTCGGGGTGCAGTGGCAGACCCGATTGTCGCGCACACTGGGACTCCCATTGTTGTTGTTGGTCAAAAACCTGGTCATTTGCTGTGTCGACCAGGCGTGCGAAGTGGAGCGCCAAGCTCGACCGTGCCGTCCGCCTGCGCTCTCCCCAGCCTCCGGTCTTTTTGACTTTGTCTTGACACCGGGCCCAGATGGAGGAGGAGGAGGAGGAGTAGGAGGAGAAAGTGCGGTAGATGCTGTGTAAGTCTACATTCATTATAAACTAATTCACGCACAAGTCACCGTCCCTGCTCCAGCTTGTTGTGGAGCACATGGTGGGCATCGTCAGCAACAACGGTCGAACTGTCGTGTGTCTGTTTGGAGTGACCGACTGGTTGGACGAGAGCCAGACCGAAACGGTTCTTTTTTAACGTGATCGATGGCACTCTTACGCATGTGGGATGTATGCCACCCAATCCCCGGTGTGCGAAATGCTGATGCTTGTGTTTGGGGGCCAGGTCATGCATGTGGCACGTTCGCATAAGGTCACTAGGTAGTCAGCAACCGCGCCCATTACCCGCATCTGTCAACTGACCGGCTCGGGCAGTGACTGAGGCCTGGGAATGGGCAGACAGAGTGAGGTTGACGACCCAGCGTATTGTCCCCCCTACAAACAATCTGACGCGCCTGAAGTTATCCCAGTGCGCTAAAGCTGTGGCCGTGTTGATGATTAGCCCGATGTTAACGCAGTCTGAGGCAGAGTCCTCTGCTCTGTTGCGTGTCAGCTTCGGACACGGTGTTGAGTGCATAGCTATCGGTAAAGTGCAGGTAGTGGACAGTAGTCGCAGAGTGACGCGTTGTGGTCTGCATGCACCGGCCCTTGAAAAGATGGCCGCCGGCCCTGCAGGCGGTGCAGATCCCGGGGTGCTCATCAAGATAGGCGTCCACTGCCATGGCAGTAAACATGAGGTTGAAGAGGATTGAGCAAGTACTGAATCAAGCTTCACTCATTTGGGTACTGCAAATGCTTCTGAGACGGTCTCGTTGTCTGTGACATATCATGTGCGTAAATCGCTCAGGACATGATTTTTCACAGCCCTTTGTGATTCACCGTGTGATAGGTTTTCGCCAAGTCCCCGAAGGTTATGTAGAGGTCTGTTCACATTTTCTGGCACTTTTCTTGTAACTGGCGGGCGGTGAAGATCATGTCGGAGGCTGCGCGATGGCGTCGGAATCCACGCTGACTTTCGGGCAGAAGCCCTTGTTCGAGATGACCGTCAAGACGGTTGAGGAGGATGCAAGCAAAGATCTTCCCGACAATATTGAGCAGTGAGATTCTTCTTTGACTATCACAGAGTTGCCGGCTTCATTTACTCTTATATAGATGGGCGACTGACGCATTCCTGCAGTCCTGAGGAAGTTGTCCTCGGAGCCACACCTCCAGAAATAGCACTGTGAGTTATTTCATCAACCAGGACCGCCATGCTTATAGACTTTTACCTGAATCGCATCGAATCTCAGGGCTTTTTCCCTGGAGATTTGGTGCACGGCTCGGACTGTTTCTGGGAAAGAAGGCGGACGATGGCGGCTTCGGAGAATGTGATGAGCAGTTTAGTACACTTCTGATGTGCTCGGCCCTGCGCTTTATAATTTGTGACTTTTTGTTAGTGACGCCCTTACATCGGAGCTGAGGTGCGGCGCGGTTCCTTTGTTTGGGGGGTCGTAGACCGCCTTGAGGGATGCGAGATAGTTCTAGTTTTATTTGATGTTGACATAGTCCTGGGTTTCCTCGGCCTTGTGAGTCATCCAGGCGTCCTAAATCTCCCTTTGTTGCTGCTGCACGAGGCGGCGATAGCGGAAAATGACCGCTGTGCTGGTTTTGGTCCGATGGTCCATATAAGCCTTTTGCAGCTTGGGCTTTTCAGCGAGCAGTTGGCTGAGGTCTGCGTCATTGCCATCGAATCAGTCATACTACTACTACTACTACTACTACTACTACTACTACTACTACTACTACTACTACTACTACTACTACTACTACTACTACTACTACTACTACTACTATTACTACTACATGTGAATACACTGCGACTTCTACGTCTGCCACCACCAAAACTGGCACAAATAATGACGCTGCCAATAATACTGACCTTACCCCCCACCACCAACACTACTTCTAACGGAAGGCAAATTTTTCTCAGCGTCGAGCTGACCCCGACTACCATCACTTGCAATGCTACCACTATAAGGTAAACTGCTACTACAGGGTTGTCCTAAAAATTGGACATCAGTTGAGATGTCCATGTTGGGGGTAAATATTTGGTGATGGGAGATGACAGTTAATAGGCTTAACTTTGAACATAACGAGTTTTAGTCAACAAACCTCCAAGAAAAAGTTGCAGGAAATGGTAATTTTGAAGTATTCCGCATTTATTGCAAACGTTTACTGTGTGCGTCGCTTGTGATGCGGCTCACATCAAGTCGGTGATTGAGTTCCTGCCTTGGGTCGCTGCTGCATGTCTTATGTAACAGTCTTCAGGGCAGAAGGGGCGTTCACCGGGAGGGGTTTATTTGAGGTCCGACGTTTCGAGTAGCTTATTCGCCTACCCATCTTCAGAGACTGGGAAGTCCTGTGCACAGCTCCCCTTATAATTGCGCCCTTTGTCCAGTGCGTGATCCGCCAATGCCGCCTGTGTGGCTGCATCCAACCCGCATGTCACCGTGACCTGAATCGCCCCCGTCGGCCGCGGAGATGACTGACGGCCCCGATTGTCCCGCGCCGTGACTGTCCCCCGCAAAGAGGTTTCGTAAAGTCAGATAGGGGAGAGGCAAATTGATGTGGCGGTTGACAGAGCGGTCGGTGGACATCCGGGCTTCTCGCACTTGCCTTGCTGTGTGATCGCCGCCCCGGCCCACAATCCCAACGGCGTCAAAGTTGAAGATGTATCCCATTTGCGCGGCACGGGTTGCTACCTCCGACTTTGGGTCCAACTTTCGCACAGCCAACTTATGCTCGTGCGTTCGCGTTTGTAGCCGTCGGCCGGTTTCCCCAACGTAATTGCACCTTCCGCAGCTGCATTGAAGTCGGTAGACAACGGCCGACATCTCCTGCTTAGGGATCAGATCTTTTAGCCGCATCACTTGTCGGCGGATTGGTGAGTCAGGACTGTGGGCAACACCTATTCCGAGAGGCGCGAGTGATCGAGCCACGGCTTCGGAAACCCCTTTAATGTACGGAATGCTCCACCACGAGTTTGACTGACTATGCTCTTCGTTCCGCTTCTTTGGCTGCCTACGGCTCCGTTCAATGAATGCCCGCGCATGGCCATTAGCTCTGAATAGTTCTCCGAGGCGCTTTATCTCGTCCAGTTTGGCGGCTGGCGTGTCGCAATGAATTTCCACCCGTCGGTACAGCGCGCGGACACAGCTTCGTTTGTGTTGTTGCCGGTGGTTGCTGTTGTAGCCGAGCATTTGCGGCCTGTTCGTCGGTTTTCTGTAGACCGACGTCGCTAGTTCGCCATTTGGTTGGCGGCAGACGAGAACATCCAAGAATGGAAGATTGCCCCCTACTTCCTCTTCCCTCGTGAACTTTAGATCGGGAATGATTGAGTTCAGTAATTCCGCATAGTAGTTGACTTTATCCTGGTCGATGATTACAAAGGTGTCATCAACGTAGCGTGCCCAAAACTTGGGTTTGTACTCCTCGAATAGTCGTCTCTCGAGTTTTTGTAGAACCGCCTCGGCAATGAGTCCGGAGATTGGTGAACCCATTGGAGTGCCCTCGATCTGCTCGTATGTGGTCCCTTCGAAGGTAAAGAATGCCTTGAGGCAGTGCCCCATGAGTTCTATGAGATCCTGAGCTGTGGGCTGGCCATCGCCCCCGTCGTAATTTTGACGTAGCAGGTCGCTGAGTGTTTCGATCACAAGGGCCTGTGGTATGGACGTGAAGAGTGAGACAACGTCAAAAGACACCATCCTTTCATTCGGTTCGATCGTGACGGCCCTTATTTTGTCAAGGAATTGTTCTGCTGAGTGCATTGTTGTTTGTGGGCCTGCAGTTAGGAATCTTATCTTCTGAAATAGCCAGCTTGCAATCCCTTATGTGGGTGTGCCTCGGAGTGAGACGATAGGGCGGAGGGGAACATCTTGTGAAACAGTCTTCAGGGCCTCAGCGATTCCTCCCTTGAGTCCTTCTACGTATACAGGAAGTGATGGGGCACAGACCAGTCCTTTTACATTATCCCCATTATCCCACAGAAGGAAAGTCAGGTGGTCGTGGGGGCCATTGCAGTAACACGTTGTCTTCATCAACAGCACGGCTGATCCATCGTCGTGCAATTCCCCGCTGATATTTGCTCTCGCCGTGAGGTTCCAGAACGGTTGAGTTCCATCTCGTTGAAAAATGAATTGGGTACGCTAATTTGCCTCATTTTCGTCAAGTAGAAAATTATGAAGCATCACCAGATGGTTGCCGCCGGTCACATTTCTCTCGGAGAAAAATGCGCCATACGTGCAGTTCTTTGAGATGGTGCAGATCACATTCACTTTTCTTCGCCGTGAGTGTGAGCACTCTGCGTGTCCACTTTACCATTCATATGGAATGTGGTCTCATCACTGAAAACAAGACGGTTTTCAAAGTCGTCATGCTTTTGCTTCTCGCACGACTTTAAAGTCTGCCTAAGCTGAAGCTTGCAGGCGGTTACTCACAAACGTTTTTCACGACGCGCCAAACAGGTGACTTAGGGATCCGGGTGTCCAGGCTCGCTTTTCGCACAGATTTTCTTGGATTATGACTAAATGCCTCGCGAACTCCGTTCACCATCTATTCTGAAACTGCTGACCATCCATTTCCTTTATTCGGACACAAACAGCCCTCCTCTTGAAACTTCATATGCCATGTCCAAATCTGCTTCCCTGTTGGCGCCTGTTTTTGAGATTTCGAGACAAACGCACGTCGCGCATTCACACTTGACTGAGTTTGGGCGTACTGCAATACACAAAACGTCTTTTCTGTTGCAGTAAGCGGTAGAACTAGTCCTGAGAAAGTAAACATATGAAAAATTAGTTTTTTAAATGCACATTGAATTCCAGACGTACAACCAAAAATCGAGACATTTTGAAAGAAATTTTATTTACGTTATTGGGTAGTGAAGTGAGGCCAAATTACTAGGGCCATCCTATAGTGTGCCATCGTAACTAATTCCACTACTATTAATTCCACTAGTAATGCTAGCACCGATACAAAAACTACCGCTATTACAACCACAGCAAATAATAGCCTGCTTTCAATACTGCTAATATTGAAAACTTGTCACTTCAGAACCTAGTGCTACAACTACTAACTTAAGGACTGTAAAAAATATTACGACTACAATCATATAAACTACTACTAACACCACGAATATTACTGCCATTGCAACTGCTACTGTTTATACTATAACACAACCTACTACCATCACTACTATGTATGTACGTCCGCCAGGCGTGAACTGTACTACTGGTACTGCTACTAATTAAAATAGCCAGACACCACAAAAACCATTACAAATGAGAACATCAATGTTTTCAGTGGTTCTGACTCTATTACTACCGCTGTCGCTACTACTACTACTACTACTACTACTACTACCACCACGTAGTACGCCCACAGGGAGTTGCTTTACATGACGTCCGATTCTGGGACTGATTATCTTCCTCATGTTTATTAATGGCGGTGTTCATGACCTCCAGAACTAGGAAGCGTTCTTTCGCCTTGCTGAGAAAGTTAACTTCCAAAGAAATCTTTGTTGGCTGAGAGAGCGGTCATGTCGATGAATGCTGGAGTTTACTACATACAGATCTGCCGATTAACATTTTGGAAAACAGAACATAGCATGAGTGCAGCAGGATTTCGGTTTACTTGAAAAAATTCAGGATGAGTTACCAAATTAGTCAAACGGGGATGCACATTGACCTGCCTACATCGCCTTAATCACTTTCTTCTGAGATTTCAGTAACTGACCTGAGATCTGATACGAACATTTCGTATCGCGCATGGGTTAGACTGAGACCTAATATGAGACGATTTCCTCCATCCCGAAGCAAAAACCCTCCAACATACCATTCAGACTGTACGTGACACCAGGCAGTTTGGGTACGAGAAAGTATTTTTGGAGGTTAAACCTAGGAATAGTCTGTATAAATTCTAATATCATGTCTAAATCCCGCTTTCCACTAATCGGGCATATTCAAAAAGCGCATGAAAATTAGCAATGAAAATTAGTAAAGTGATTAGGCCCAGATCTCTCTGCTACTGAGAATCTGACCGTTTCAAACGACGAGGTGAATCACTGCCCAATAATATGGGCCCGACGATGATTTGTCCGTAATTTTTTGGATGGTGATGCAAACATCCGCTAGATAAATATTCTTCGGAATTCTGCGGCAAATGAGGTTGATGCAGCTCAGTTTTTTGCCCACCTTTTGTATATCTTTTGCATCTCGACGCCATATGGGTGCGTGGTCAAAATGATAACCCTTTATAACATTAGTCTTATGTTAAGAAAGATGCCACAGTGTTCACAAACGGCGTTACAGCCCGCCTGGCTTCAGAGGTCCAACTGATGATTGCAATGTCAATCTAGGTGTTTCGTGAAAACATGTCTCCCGGGCATGCGGAGTTGCCCAATAATGTGAGGAAAGTTGCAACGACATCTGTCACTGCCTCACCGTAGTCAGTATCTAGCTTCAGTTGATACCTGACTGTCTCCTTCATGCCAACGAACATTCTAAATTTTGAACAGTCGGAAGTAAAGAGACCCACATCCCGCTGCATGTCCACAGGGCTGCACTATTCAACGTGCCGTCAGTCGTGATCAAGAGGCCGTGGACACCTGACTTGATCTTTGATTTCTGACTTATGCGTCGAATGTCTAGCAATTGCCGTTCGGTTTGATAATCGGTGTGGATTCTCGACCATCACTCATAAAATGCGTCCGTCAACATGGCGGATGACATGAGGTTTAAGAAGTGGCGGGGACGAGTATACAACCGTGCTTCACCCGATACAGTGAGAGACCGATCTCATGAAATGTTGGCTGAAATTATGAAATGCGTTTCCGATTAGGAAGGATCACTTAGGCTCAGTTATGATACTGATTAACTTGCTT